GAGGCCTAGTGGCGGTCCTTAGGTCAACACTGTACCCTCAGAAGGTACCCCACCTAGGCAACAGCTTTAGTTTGTGAAAAAATTGGAGGAAACTTTAGCTTGAGGAGAAGAAAAGCTGGAGAGGACACGGCCCAGATGGGGATCAGGTCAGCCCCTTACAGAAAAAGTGAGAGAAAATAGGGAAGGGACCTCAGCTCCAGGAGCTCTCTTGTGGGGTTCCTGGGTAGCTCAGGTAGCTCAGCTGTTAAAAGCCCGAGTGTGGCCCCGTCCACGCCCTTCTGCTCCTGGCTGGATGTGGATCACTTGCTCACTCCCCATACACTCCTGCTACTGTCCTCACCGTGTATGAGGTGTATAAGGTGATGCACTAACTGAGTCTTCATTATAGTTTAAACTTCCAACCTTCAAAACGGTGAGCGTAATAAACCTTTTCTTCCTAAGTAGCTATCTTGGGTATTTTATCATAGGTACAAAAAGCAAACCAACACCACTTATCAGGCTTACACTCAGTAGAAGAATCCAAGGAAAATCTAATTGGCACCAAAGGGATCCTTTGACTGAGACATGCTAGAAATGAGACTGGCCAACTATTTCAAGCATGCACACACTTACACAGGAAAAGTTTATTGCGAGGAAGAGGCTTCAGCTGAAAGGAGTGAGCAGTTGGTGGGAGAGTGGCAAAAGTCCTGATCACAAAACAAAGACAGCAGCAGGATTTTACCGATTTGTCGGAGTGGGCTAACATCCAATCATCTCCATTGGCCGGGGCACGGTTTCAAAGATATTTCTTTTTTTTACAAACTTGGAGCACCAAGTATTCACGGTCAAAGCATCCTAGAGGCTGCTGAACTTTGGTGTTTCTGGTATCATTCTGTGTAAAGCCTCCCCACTCTGGGGAGCTCGGCCTAGGGACAGGGCAGAAGGACTTTGGGTGCTTGGGTTTTCGTAGCTTCTGCATAGCATAAGGGTGGGGCAGAAGAAACACACCAGCTCCATTGTACAACAAGCCATATTAACCTTCAGTCACAGTTTTGGACAATCTTTTTTTTCATGCACAACAAATCTATATATAGAGCTGAGCAGAATCTGACCTCAAGTTTAAAACAGCAAATGTGATAGACACAATACTAAGACAGAGATGCTATGTCTTTCGTCCCATTTTAGTCACCCATCAGACATTTGTACAGCAGCTTTGAGTACTTGTAGACAAGTCAGTGTTTTAGCAAAAGTAGCCTTCAGGCTCCTGGGAAATAACCTAGGCAACTGTTACCATAACCCAAACACCACAAGTTTTTCCAAAGTAAAGCTAGTAGGAAACTAGTAACAAATTGCTCAGTTGTGTGCCCTCCAAAATCAGTGATTTTTAAATTGACTAACAGCAAGTGAATCTAGGAGGCTTATGAAGGTTTTTTCCTTTGTAAAACTCACATATGATGCAAACACTCTGCTTCTGTGGTTAATCAGAGTCTTATGATGGGTCTGTTGAAACATACTGTGCTACAAAGGGTAATAATTTGCTGTGCCCTGGTGCTTATTTTATCTGGCCCACCATGGTAATTCCTGTGTCATAACTAGTTAAAGAAAACAGATCTAAAGATGCAGACAACAAGTTTCTTCCAAGAAACATACCATTTCAAGAAACTTCACCGTCTTCTAGTGCAACTTACAAGGTTTAAATAACTTTAAATAGGAGCAAAGGTCACTCACTGGTAAACTGAGGACATTCTAACATGGAAAAGAAGGACCAAGACAAGAGAACATATAAACAGATGGGCGTGGTGGCGCACACCTGTAATACCAGCACTTGGAAGGCTGAGGCAGGAGGATCACTGTGAGTTCAAGACCAGCCTGGGCTACATAGTGAGTTCCAGGCCAGTCTCAACTACGTAGTGAGACCCTGCCTCAAAAAAACAAAGAAAATGAGAGAGAGAGAGAGAGAGAGAGAGAGAGAGAGAGAGAGAGAGGGAGGACATGTAAACAAAGGAATTTAGAAGAAACTATGACTAAAAAGATGAAAACATCTTTAGGGGTTAGGGGTATATCTTAGTGGTAAAGTACATGCCTAGTATTCATGAGATCCTACATTTAGTCCCAAGCACCTTGAAAAAATTAAAGTTATCATTAGAAAGGTAAAAGATATTTAATCCAAGAAAAAAAATTTTTAAATAATCAGCATGGGTATGGTGGCACATGCCTGTAGTCCCAGCTACCAAGGAGCATTGCAAGTTGGAGGCTAACCTAGCAACTCAGTAAAACTCTATCTCAAAAATTTTAAAAGGCTGGAGATGTAGCGCAGAGCTTCCTGGGTTCAATCCACCGTACTGCAATCAATCAATAATAGAATAATAAAAAATCTGTGGAAAATAAAACTTATTCCAAGCCAAGTGAGATAGCACAGAACTAAATTCTCAGCAATCAGCAAACTGAGGCAGGAAGATCCCAAGTTCAAGCCCAGTCTAGATTACAAGCAAGACCCGATCTCAAAAAACAAATGAAAATGATACCAAATTTGAACCCCCAAAGAAGAGTTGGAAGATCAAGATGATAGAAGTTTCCTTGGGAAGTGGAACAAAAATACAGAAATAAGAAAGAGAAATAAGAACATTAGAGGAAAATCCAATGTCAGATAACTAGAGTGTTAATATTGAAACACAGAACAGGGAAAACAGGTGTACATATCAGAAACTCAAGAACACATTCCAGAATTAAAAGACATTGGGTGAAGGAAGGGCAGGGACAAGGGGAAAAATGAGAACCAAGAACTGTCATGTAAAGGTGTAAGATCCCAATGATGAATGTAACTGTACTGTATATCTAAAATGTACCAATAAACTCAATTAAAAAAATTTTAAAGACATGGCTTCCATATTAAAAGATACATTGTATTAAAGAAAAGACACATTGCAGGACCCAACACAATGAACAGTGGGGCCTCACTACGCCACTGTTACATTATTTCAGAACACCAAAAATAATGAAAGAATAACTTTTTTAGACAGAAGAAAAATAGGTCAAATACAAAGAAGCGGGAATGGTACATGTAAGTTTCAAAAAACAAAAAACAAATATAAAGGAGCAAGGCCTCCAAGACTCTGGGGGAAAATTATGCCCAGTCAAGTGGACATCTTCAAGACACACAAAGTCTTCAATTTTTTACTACCTTCATATTTTGTTTTTGTTTGTCTGGTTTTGAGACAAAGTCTCACCTTGTACTATGCAGCCTGGAATTCCCTATGCAGCCCAGGCGGGCTTCGAATTCCGTTCATCCTGCTTCAGCCTCCTGAGTGCTGGGATTCGACATAGGCCACCATACCCAGAGTCGCTTCACACTTTTTTATAAGAAAATTATTAGAAAGTGTTAATTAGCCAAAAATGAAGAGGACATGGAGCCCAGGAAAAAAGATACCTAACTCAAAAGAATGGAAGAAGGGAAAGCCCAGAATGATGGCGAAGACTCTTGAGAGCACCTGTGGAGCAGATTCAAATGCAGCAGAAGAAATGTCCCCAAGGAGATGAAACCGAGTTTGAATATACTGAGAGATTTCCACATACTATTTTGTATTGTGGCATTTCACCCTATTTTCATTTTTTAAAATGCAAGGACCATTTTTTTTAACTTCTTGCACAAATTAACTAGAGACATTTAAAGCTAAATGGATGCACAGTGAGGCCATACTCTTAATGAAATAAATAGAACACATGTGTAAATACCGAACAGTTTCTCTGGTATGAAAAACTAAAAGTGTAAGGTTCAAATTGTGTAATTGATAATGTGATACAGGCAGAAAAGGTCTAAAGGAGTAGGGGGAGTGGGAAGGGTAGGAAAAAGGAAAGAAGGGAAAAGAAAAAATATTAGAAAAGGAAAAACTGGAAACAAAGTCTTTGTAACTAGGGAAGGGTGGAGAGGGTGAAAGGAGGGCAGGGGAAGGGGGAAAAAATAAGAACCACGATCTGTCATGTAAAGGTACAAGATCCCCATGATGAATGTAACTGTACTGTATACCTAAAATGTACTAACGATGAAAAAAAAATAGCTCAATGCCCTACACATATTAAGCACTAAAATACATTCTGAATGAATGGAACAGAGTATCTGCATTGATACAGTATAGAATAGAACCCGAAGAGGGCTTTAAAACAGCATGGAAAATAGGCGGCTTCGATATCCTGATAGTGCTGATTTATTCTGAATGATAAAATGAATGACAACGATTCATTTACCTACCTGAAGACCAAGAACAGAATCATATGGGGGAGAGGGGCAGTCAACTCTGAAGTTAGTATTAATGTGACTAATCTTTGATTTCCTCACTTGAATATAGTCAAGGTGACTGTGAGGATGGAGCTAATGCATTGTGTTCCACATTACAACTTCCTCAAGCTTTGGGGTGGTTTTTGTTTGCTTGTTTCAAGGTATCGGGGATTTTGTTGTTTTTGTTGTTTTATTTTGGGACAAGTTCTCACTAGAAATTGTGATCTTCCTACCTCAGCTTCCCAGAGTGCTGAAAGTACAGCCTGCACCACCGCACCCGGCTACTCTGGAATTCTGATTAAAAATCCTCAAGTTTGAGGTTAGGAGAAAATCAGATTGGGAGGAGGGATGTCATCTGGCCTCTCGGGCCTCTTCCTTCGTCTGAACAGTTTCCACTTGCCCTCCCTACAAGCGCCAAGAAGCTAAGCCTTCCCTCCACTTCACAGGCCAGACCCACCTTACTCAGGCGAGGCGGGCCGCAGTAGTGGTGTTGTGGGCTTCTGGCCACGAGAGGGCAGCATTCTCCCGACAACCACACACGTATCACCTTGCAACAGTACGCTCACATTAAATAGAAAAAAAACACCCGAATTCTTGGTTTCCCTTCCATTTCATCTCTCGTGTCGCCCCTACTAAGTTTCCTTTAAAGTAGTCGCGTCTCAGAGAGTTGAAAATATTGACAGCCGAGCTGAGTTCTCGCGAGATTGTCGCCGGAAGTGGGCGGTGGCGAGACCGCAGAGTTCTCGCGAGATCACCACGGTAGTGGGTGGCGGCAGAGACGTAGCGGCCTGCCTCCTTGCGGAGCTTGCGCTTCTTAAGAGCGGCTGCATCCGGCCGTCCCAGGCGCTCTCTTCTGAGGGAAAGCTTCTCCGCCGCGGCCTCTCCGGCCCCGAGCTCGCGCTCTTGGCCTGCCCAACCGCGCGGACCGTGGCCCGGCCTGCAGAGCCCTCCGCGCTCCTCCCTTGGTGCTGCAGTTAGGCCGCGCCTCAGGCCCAGTCCGCGGCGGCCCGGCGGGTGATGCCAAATACAGCCATGAAGAAAAAGGTGCTGTTGATGGGGAAGAGCGGGTCGGGGAAGACCAGCATGAGGTCGATTATCTTTGCAAACTACATTGCTCGCGACACCAGGCGTCTGGGTGCCACCATCGACGTGGAGCACTCCCACGTCCGCTTCCTGGGGAATCTGGTGCTGAACCTGTGGGACTGCGGCGGTCAGGACACCTTTATGGAAAATTACTTCACCAGCCAGCGAGACAACATCTTCCGTAACGTCGAGGTTTTGATTTACGTGTTCGATGTCGAGAGCCGCGAACTGGAAAAGGACATGCATTACTACCAGTCCTGTCTGGAGGCCATCCTCCAGAACTCACCTGACGCCAAAATCTTCTGCCTGGTGCACAAAATGGATCTGGTTCAGGAGGACCAGCGTGACCTGATTTTCAAAGAGCGAGAGGAAGACCTGAGGCGATTGTCTCGCCCCCTGGAGTGCGCCTGTTTCCGAACATCCATCTGGGACGAGACGCTCTACAAGGCCTGGTCTAGTATAGTCTATCAGCTGATCCCCAACGTTCAGCAGCTGGAGATGAACCTAAGGAACTTTGCTCAGATTATCGAGGCTGACGAAGTTCTGCTGTTTGAGAGAGCTACGTTCTTGGTGATCTCTCATTACCAGTGCAAAGAGCAGCGTGACGTCCACCGCTTTGAAAAGATCAGCAACATCATTAAGCAGTTCAAGTTGAGCTGCAGTAAATTGGCCGCTTCTTTCCAGAGCATGGAAGTTAGGAATTCTAACTTCGCTGCTTTCATCGACATCTTCACATCAAACACGTATGTGATGGTGGTTATGTCGGATCCATCCATCCCCTCTGCAGCTACTCTGATCAACATTCGCAATGCCAGGAAACACTTCGAGAAGCTGGAGAGAGTGGATGGCCCCAAGCATAGTCTCCTCATGCGTTGAATGTAGCCAAATGCTCTTTATGAAAGTGCTGATTTTTTTTTGCATCCTTTTGTAATATTCATGATGTCGTGTGCTTAGAAGTGGGCTTCGAGATGTGTGCTGCTTACTACTTCAGTTTCTTTCTTCCTCTTCCTCAAATATTGGGCACTACTTCCTCAGCTATCCAGTAGAGCTTCAGGATGGCTTTTCTGAAAAGTTGGTGTGGTGTAACACTAAAGTAGGTGGTTTGTGTGTGTTATGACTGCCTGGTTATAATAGATATGCACATCAAAGCCTTTACCAGTATCTTCCTGTATTATTAGACTGCAAAGATGGAATGTTACTATTTTATCAACAAGGTATTAAAATGCATTCACAAAATTCTTGGCTTCAATCATTAATAAATATTTACTGATAGCAATTTAAAATATGGTCTTATTTGAAATAATTTGAAGGCACTTAATGTGACTCCAAAGATTCTTACTGCCCACAAATATTAATTGGCCAACCTCATTTTGAGTTTAGCTCCATCGTTTTACTGAGGTTTGATAGCAGCTGTAGCACAATAGTTAAATATGGACTTGACCTAGACCCTATGAGCTGAGGTAGTATCACAGTCTTTTCACTTGCTACTACCTCTGTGAACTTGGGCAAGCTACCAAGCTTGTTTCCTCACTTGTGAAATGTGAATAAAAATGCCACTAGAAAGCATTCGAAATGGTGCCTAGCCTAGCATATAATCTGTAGTTAGCTATTACCACCTAGTGAACCATTCCTCCCCCAAATTACTTCATGTAAAGTGTAGGTTAAATTATTTTTGTTTTTGAGGCAGGGTCACACTGTAGTTCAGGCTGGCCTTGAACTCATTTTGGTCAGTAGCCCAGGCTAGCCTCAAACTTGCAGCAATCCTGGGATTACAGGCATGCACCAGCATGCCTGGGCCTACCTGAATATGTATTTGAGCCCTTTTAGGTGCCAGGCATTAGTTAGTAGTAGTATATTCTTTAATCCCAGCACTTGGGGGAGGCTAAGGCAAGTACAAGGCCACCCTGGGCTACAGAGTGAGATCCTGTCTCAAAAAAAAAAACCAAAAAAACAAAACTTAAATATACCTAAGTATTAAGTCCTTAGTGTGCATTTATCTTTACCCTTACTTTTATCTGTTGTAATAGATAAATCAAGGGTATCTGGCTAAACTCTTCCCCTTGCCTAATCACTACACCCCACAACACCTTTGACTGTCAGAAAAGTTAACCATAAAAATACTGTTTGTTTTTTTTTATTGAGTTTATTGGTACATTTTAGGTATACAGTACAGTTACATTCATCATTGGGATCTTACACCTTTACATGACAGGTCTTGGTTCTCATTTTTTCCCCTTGTCCCTGCCCTTCCTTCACCCCCTCCTCCCGTCCCCATTTACAAACATTTTATTTCCATTTTTTCATTTTCTCATATCTTTCTCTTTTCCTTTATTACCTTTCCCCTACCCTTCCCACTTTCCCTACACCTTTAAAAATACTGGTTTTTAAATGCAGATTATTCCCTCATATAATTCCAATCTCACATTGAAGAAGTTAATCTAGGAAGTTAAATGAGTGAAGGAACAGTGTTTGCTCACTTAGGGTTAGTTCCCATGCATATTATCTGGAAATTAGATAACAGTGAACAAATTATTTTAGATTACCTACTCTAGGGAACAATTCTGAGGTAGCTAATTTGTTATTGCCAATGTGGTATTACTGAAATTAGGAAATAAACCTAAAATGTACCATTCCAGTTCTAGTAATAGCTGTTTTAAATGGTGGTTTGAGTGAATCTTAAGTATCTTAGAGCCGAGACCTCTGATGAACTTGTTTTACAGATGAGGCAGTATTAAATATAGTGGTAAGTAGAGTTTCCGAGGCTTTGACATTTATTAAATCCTCTCAAGCCAGGCGTGGTGGTCCATGCCTGTAATCCCAGCACTCAGGAGGCTGAGGCAAGAGGATCGCTGTGAGTTTGAGACCAGCCTGGGCTGCATAGTGAGTTCCAGGTCAGTCTCAACTACATAGTGAGACCCAGTCTCAAAAAACCAAAAAAGAAAAAAAAAAATCCTTGCTGACATCAGATGTCATAACAGGGTCTTTAAGAGCAAGCTATTAAGATGTAAAGCATAAAAATCATTTAGTAGGGCCACTGGCAGAAAGATTCAGATAAAAACTGATAGCATAGATATAATTTTATAAATGCTACCTGTGGCAAATCTACTAGTTCAGATGGCAATAACAAATACTTTTACCTGAACCACTGAACCTCTCAAGTTTATTTTGATCAGTTGTTAAACCTTTGATCATTTTATGGTTTCTGATGTAGGAAATTCCAGAGACATATGGTAAAATATTGAATATTCAAGACAATATGAGACAATATTCAAGAGACTACAGTCTTGTACAGCACTTGCAACTATTTTAAACTTAGGGTGCCAATTCACAGTGCATAAGGAAAAAGGTGATCTTTAAAACTATCTGAACTTTATGCAAGAGAATTTTAATACTTCTGTCCTTAACATGTTTAGTATACTCAGGGAAAAGATGCAGTTTTGTGATTTGTTTTTTGATACTGAGGATTTTAAACCCATCAGGGCCTTGAACATACCAAGTAAGTGCTATACCATTGAGCTACATCCTTAGCTAGAGTTTGCTTTACCTTAATAAGGGTCTAAAGAATCCCTGTTTTTCCTTAAGATAACGTACTGACTTCATAGTTTATGGCCAAGAAACATAATGGCAAAAAAAAGGTTTCAAGATACTTGTCAATATGTCTGTTTTCAATTAAATTATCCCCAGATATTTTTTTTGTAACTTCAATTATTCCTTATTCTACCTGATTATTCCTTATTCTACTTGGTAACATTTTTCATATTCAGCAGCATTACTGTTTATCCCCCTTGAACATTTAAAATAGGGGTGCCGGGCGTGGTGGCATACGCCTGTAATCCCAGCACTCGGGAGACTGAGGCAGGAGGATCACTGTGAGTTCGAGACCAGCCTGGGCTACATAGTGAGTTCCAGGTCAGTCTCAACTACATAGTGAGACTCTGTCTCAAAAAACCAAAAAATAAAATAAAATAGGGGTAAAGGTGTAGCTCATTGGTAGAGTATGTGTTCAGCCTTTTTGAGGCCCTCCTGGGTTTAATCCCCCGCATCACAAAAATAACAATATAATAATTAGGACATACTGGTGTTATCTACTTGATGCAGAAGTCAGCATATATACCTTTAAATCTTACAGTGAACAAAACAGGGTAATCTGACATGAATGAGAAAACATCTACAGCCATAAGCCCTCTACCATTGTGTAGGAGGAAACAAAATTCTGATACCTAAATATTTACTAATGACACGTGGTATTGGGGTATATGTATGTGTGTGGATGCATATACACACTCTACACACACCTGCTTATGTATGTGTGTACGTAGCTGGTGTAACGAAGGCATATAAAACCTCTTCTGTTGATTTCCTCTATTTCCCCTTCTTCCACTGTGATGCCCCATTTTTTTACTGATTTTTTTTTTTTTTTTTTTTAACATGGAGCATACCTATAATCCCAGCTACTCAGGAGGCTAAAGTAGGATCGCAAGTTCAAGGCCATGATGGGCAATTTAGTGAAAACTTGCCTCAAAACAAAAGGTGGGAGCCAGACATGGTGGCGCATGCCTATAATTCCAGTACCCAGGAGGCTAAGTAGTTCAAGGCCAGCCTGGGCTACGTAGTGAGGGCCTGTCAGAAAAAGGCGGGGTGGGGGGGTCTGAAGATACAGCTCAGCGTTCCCTGGGTTCAACCCCAGTACTGCAAATAAAGAAGTATAACGAGATCAGATAAAACCATGAAAAAAATGAAAGCAATTAATGAAATACAAAATGAGTAAAAGAAAAACTAAATTTCAGGGAATAGGCACATGAATATGGAAAATGTCAAATTAAGATTTCAAGGTAGAAATGCAATTTTTTTTCTGAGCCTTAGTTATATACTTATGACAAACTTGAAGGGGAAAATAAGGTACTCAAACTTAAGAATTGTGAGTTAATTTCTAAAGACCTGTAGTCAACTAAACATTTCAGAGGTGGTGAGTGGTGGTGCATGACTGTAATCCCAGCACTCAGGAGGCAGAGGCAGGAGTTCAAGGCCAGCCTGGGGTACATAGTGAGTTCAGGGCCAGCGTGAACTACAAAAGCGAGACCCTGTCTCAACCCCCACCCAAAATCAGTAAAAACTGGGACATCACAGTAGAAGGGGGGAAATAAAGAGGAAACCAACAGAAGAGATTTTATATGCCTTTATATTTGAACTCTTCCAGATTGGCAATAAGCCATTAATGGGTTTCTAAGCAAGGAAGTGCCATCAAAGCAGTTCCTTATGGTTAAGAAGCAACTGTGCAGGAGATACTAACTAGAGAAGAGGTAGAAGGTAACAAACTGCAATCAGTGGTTGTAAAGGAGTGACAGACTTGAGACTGTTTATGGTTCTGTGCAGGAAAGAAAAAAAAGCATCAAGACATTCAGGCTATCACAGGTCAAACTGATTTTTATACATGCAATGTTCATCAATTAATTTCCTTCTCCAGTATTCCGCATCAAACCCAATCACACCATTACCACAGAGCAACACTCCCAACCCTTTTTAAACTTTAGGAGAGAATCTTGGAAGTTGCCCAGGCTGGTCTCAAACCTGCAGTCCTCCTGCCACAGCCCCTGCAGTAGATGGGATTAGACTGCATCCCTGCGTCCAGCTTAATCTTTTGAGTCTCAGTAATTAAACACCTCCCACACTTTATTAGTGAATTTGACCTTCCCTACCAGTTATTTTTTAAGATAGTTAACTCATTTTAAAGCAGTAATGTACCTGCTTCATAAAGGTACCTCAAAGCTAAATGTGGATCTCTATTCCCTAACAGCAGTTCTCAAATTTTTTATTGAGACTATAAATTACTAGGAAATAATGCAGATTTCTAATCCCTATTTTAGATGTGCATTTTAAAAATTACATCTCAGAAACTGTGGTGGCACACAACTGTAATAACAGTACTCAGGATCTCAAGTTCAAGGCTAGCCTAGGCTACATAGTGAGACCACTGCCTTAAAACATAAAAAGATGCACCTCAGATGATTTCCACACAGCTGGCTCTCTAGTCCCTAAACAAGTCATTTCATTTAAGTTCCCTGGCTTCAGAAGCATGCTCTGTAGACTAAGTACCACCTTAGAGTTGTAATAATAGAATTCTCATGTACTAAGTAACTAGCAGTAGCCCTGGTACTTTGCAGATCCTGATAGCCCCAACTCCTCCCAAACATACTTATTTAGCATGTATAGATACTGAGTTTTCTTAAAGCAGACTAAAAATGATTTCCAAGCAGACTTGCAAAGTCCTTAATTTGTTGTATTAATAAAAGAACATGGCACCTATTATGGTTTTGATTTGAAATTTTCCCCGAATGTAAATGGCTTGTCACCTGATGGGCTTTTGAGAAATGGTGGATCACGAGGATCCTAAATTCGCTAAGCGGATTAATCCACTGCTGAGATCACAATCTGATGGCATTCTTGAGGGATAATACAAACAGGAGGTGGGGCCTAATGAAAGGAGTGGCTCATAAGGGCATGACTTAGGGGACCGTATCTGGTCCCCTGCCCCTTCCTCTGACTTTTCCCCTTTCTCTTCTTCCTGGCTGCCACAAAGCTCACCCTTCTACCACGATGCTGTGCCTCACTTCAGGCCCACAGCAATGGAACCAGCCTACCATGCTGAAAGTTCCGAAATCATGAACCAAAATAAGTGCTTCCTCCTCTAAATTGTTTTTCTCAGGTACTTCACCACAGTGATAAAATACTAACACACCACCTTAGAAGCTTTTTGTTTCTTTTCCATGACAAAGAAGGTACTTTTATATGTGCGCTCTTCTGCCTTTACGCCAAAAGACTGGTTTTCTTTTTTTGTTTGTTTTTTTGAGACGGGGTCTCACTATGTAGTTGAAACTGACCTGGAACTCACTATGTAGCCCAGGCTGGTCTCGAACTCACAGAGATCCTCCTGCTTCAGCCTCCCAACTGCTGGGATTACAGGCCATGTGCCACCATGCCCGGCTTTTTTTTTTTCTTTTTTTTTTATTTTTTGTACCAGGGATTGAACTCAGGCCCTTGTGCTTGCAAGGCAGGCAGCAGAACCCCTGAGCCAAACCCCCGGCCTAAGACTGGTTTTTGAAATTGGGACATGACAAGCAACCTAAAGAGAAGAAAGGCAGTCCAAGAGAAGAGAGATGATTAAGACAATCTACTTTCAAAATTCTTCCCTCCAACTTCTTTCACTGTCAGCTTCTTGAGGGTTAGAGAACAAGACTTTAATGGTTACAAATTGAAGCTTTAATGGCCAGGGATTTAGCTCAGTGGCACCCCGCCTGCCTGGTAAGCACAAGGTCCTGAGTCTGATACCCAAAACCAAAAAAAAAAAAAAAAATGGGAGTGAAACGTGGACCAGCAAATTGAAGCTCCAGAAGGCACTGACGGTGATCAGCTCCAGCGCCTGCTCCACCTGGATCAGAGGTGATGGCACACAGTGTTCATTTGCACAGCAGAGACAACCCCATTTCTGAGCCTCAAGAGTGAGGCAAACAACTATAAGCGCTATAAGTCATTTAAGCCCAAATTCAGTTTTCACAAGATATTTGGATATTCTGTAGGCACTTGAAAACTTCAATGGTTTTTGAGCAGTAAGTAAAGTAATGCAAATTGAAACTAGTTGTTTTCCCCAAAATCGGCACCCTAGTGCTACCGCCAAAACAACACTTAGTGAAAGTACATCAAAAGCAACTTATCTTTATGTTAAGTAACTGAAACTGTACCAAATTAAACTACTTTTGTTATTTATTTAAGGTTTACAAAATTATTCAAAATAACAAAATGGCATCCTTGACATATGCTTTGCAAAGACTTCACATTTCAACTTCACATCTCTACAAAGAGTATCTCCAAACCTACTTTCCTTATCTAAAAGCATTACAAGAAGCTACAGGGTATTTAGGATATTTATACATCTTTGAAAAATAGTGTTACACTTCCAGCACATACTTAAGTTATAAATCAGGTTCTATTCTGCAACACAGCTTCAATTTAAGTGCATCATAGTTAAATTAACCAGGAACTGCGTCAGCTTGCTGAGTCAGATTCTTCTGCATCAAGGCTCTTACTCAAGATTTCTTCTGTAAAATTGATTTTAAAAAATAAAGGGATAAGCATTACAAAAAATATACATAAAGATTCCAAGTAGAAGCAAATTCCTTAATTTGAAAAGGCTCACACTTATGGAAATACTCAAAACTATGGTACAATTACCATTTTTCTCAACGAAGTAACTTTATCTAGAGCGTGACAGGTTCTTCCTAGAATACTTTCTAAAATACCCGTGTTTATCACAGGTAAACTGAGTGATATGTAATGAGTGTGTGTATCACTGACTCTAAATCTGTCCTAACACTTGATAAGAGCAATTATTTAACTCATTATGATAAAAGTTTTCAAACACACACAGTGAACAGAATTATGATTAATCCAATGTAGCTAACAGATGACTTCAATACTAATAATTATGGGTTGAATTGCATCCTTCAAAAAAGTTTGTTGAAATTCTAACCTCAGTACCTCAGAACCTCAGAATATAGCCTCAATTGGAAAGACAGTCATTACAGATATAGTTAGCTATAAAGGAGGTCATACTGGAATAAGGTAGGCCCTGTAATATAAGTAGTTTCCTTGTAAGAAGAGACAGGCAAAGAAGAGGAGAAAGTCACGTGGCAAACATGACACTAGAGGCGAAGGGGAGTAATGATGCCAAAGGTCAAGGACCACCTAGCTAAGCAAACACTGGGAGAAATAAGGAAGGACCCTCCACGAATGGCTTCGGAGAGAACACAGGATTTTGGACTTCTAGCCTCTATATGTTAATGTCTCCAGAGACAATAAATTTCAAGCCACCCAGTTTGGGGTGCTTTGTTACAGCCTTAGGGTACTAAAGCAACCTTGTTTGGTTTCTACTCCCCACTCCCACCACCAAACTCACCAAGAAATCGCATATATTACACCATTACAACAATGATCTTTGTTTCGTTTTTTGAGACAGGGTCTCACTTTGTAATGCAGGCTGGCCTTCAACTCATTATGTAGCCCAGGCTGGCCTCAAAACTTAGGGTGATCTGCCTGCCTCAGCCTCCTGAGTGCTGGGATTACAGGCATGTGCCACCACACCCAGCTTACAACAGTGATATTTAGAAGTGTTTCTCAACTTTTTAAAAGTCATTTTCCATTAGATTAAGATTTCTACAAGATTTACTGTCAGTAGTTTATATTACAAAAGCAGTTTCAAAAAAAATTTTTTTACACCCTGGCCAAAACCAGTCATAAACAATTATACATCAATAGATTCTCAAAGTACACATATAGTGAGGGCTCTCTTTCACTGTAGATAAAAGAATAAAAAGCACATTTTGTCACATTAACAACAAGTGTCATGCAGCATTCACTCTGTACTATTTTTATGAAGGGTAAGAGAAAATTTCAACAGGTAAATATGCGTATACTTACTGAAATCTTACCTTTTAAATTAGGTGGAAGTTCTCCAAGACTACATGGTACTGTGGTCCTCAATTTTTGCTCCACTGGAGAAAATTTAATTAGTGGTGACAGGGACTGTTTTCTTTCACCAAGGGACATGTGTAAAGATGGCTTTGCATAGTCAATGAGCAAATCATCAGTGTCCAAAAAGTGAAACACACTGTCTGTTTGCATGTTTTTGGATGTAGGACTCACTTCCAGCTTGTGTCTTTCAAGCGTTTCAGGGCTAGAGAGGTGAGACTCTTCCCTTGACTTGGAAAGAGATATCTTTAGAGCCTTGTAACTACTGTGAATAGCCTGTAAACTGAAATCTGATTCTAGAGCAGTCTCTCTTTCTTCCATAACATCATCTGGAAAAATGCCACAATGCAAAGGGCTATTTGATTGCAGTTTTAAATTGTTCTCAGAACTACTAGAGCTATTAAGACTTAGGTGACCAACTTCTTCTGGAAGAGTTTCATGCAATATGCCAAAATCCATATCCTTAAGACTCTTAGAACTAATTCCACTCAATATTGGAAAAGAGTCCCATAACACAGCTTTATGCATGGAAGTTTCACTATAAGAAGGTTGTGAGTGGTCCGATGTTTTACAACACTTACCTTTACTTCTATCCATCATCACACGCATCCTACTGTGTACATAAGGAGAGAATACCTCTACTGGGCTGGTTTCTGAAAGCTTGGTTGGTAAAGTTGTATATTCTAAATCTTGCTTACAGATTATTTTCCTATTTAACAAATCTGACTTATCTTCTGTTGGGGGTTCACCTGTATGACTGGTCACCACATGCTTCTGAGGCATATTTTCCAGACAGTCCAAGACAACTTTCTCTTCAGGCAAGTAAGACTGGTCAAAATCTGAGAAAAAACTGGCCATGCTAAATTCTCTTTGACTGTGCAACACAGGTAAGGATTCAGGCAATGCGTCTCCATGGTCAGTATCCTCGTGAACTGGTTCTGTACTTCTGACATCTTCCATTTCAACAGCCTTTCTCCATGAGCTCCTAATTTCAGTTACTAATTAAAGGAGGAAAATGACTTACAATTTACTAGTATTCCCAAAACAGAGAATGAATTTAGCTAAATCCCCGGCCCCAAAATAAACCTTTCCTCTTTAACTTTGGGTGTTGGGTATTTTGTCCAGCAATGAAAAAACTAAAACAGGCATGTACCATAGCACCTAGACAAATGCTATTTCTGAAATGTGCATATACTTTTATAAAGCACATATGAACTGCACATATTAAAGACATTTTCTTACCTCTGTAAGCCACAGCTTGGCAAACTTTTTCGTTAAAAGACAAAACAGTAGTATTTTCAGCTTTGCAGGCTATCTGTTTTATCACAACTGCTCAACTGTCACTACAGAATGAAAGAAGCTATACAATAAGTAAACAGGTAGGCAAGCTCGTGTCCAATACACTTTTATTTACAAAAACACACTGCAGATTTGCTGGCCACCAATCTAGATTGTGGCTCAGTTAAACCTGAATTAAATCAGCAACAAAACAGAAATTGAACTTAATCTTTCAACCCAGATAATCTGCATTGGTTTAACCAGTATCAGAATTGGCCTGCTCAAATTAAGAGATTCAAAAAGGACCCGGTACTCTGTTTCTGGAGTAAAGATCTGTGCACAGTTTTTGTCAGACGCTTCAGGTTGCTGACTAGGAGACTATCACTCCACACTCCCTAACTGCGGATCACAAGTCAAAGGCAGATTTCTTAAATGTGATCAAATAAAGTATTTTCCAGGGGAAAAAAAAAAAGCCCAAAGCCAAGTAACACACCAGAAACAAAACTGTGTGCTTATAAGAGCTTGCACTTCTGCATAAGTACACTAAAGTAAAACAGTAATATTGAGGAAAGACTGCTCTGTGAGAGTGCCCACCCTGAAATCCGTAAGATCTCTTTATATCAGAACAAAGAGCCACTGTCAATAAATTGAAAGGTACAAAAGAGGGTTTTTAAATGTTTCCAAAAGATCAATCAGACCATGTATCTAACAGGAGTAATTATGTGAGACAGAGAAAATGGAATCGAAAGGATTAACTTACTCAAGCTTTCTGGAGTTCGGGGAATCTGTTTCCTTGTTAAAAAGGGGTTAGAAATTACAGAGTCAATTAATTCTGCTAATTTTACTTCTTTTCCTTCAGATACCTCTGGTGAATCGAATAAGACTGCCTTAGTAACCTAAAACAGAAAAGAAAAAGAAAAAGAAAAAAATTAACAAGCCCACTGGTGGAATGCAACAGAAACTCTGTAACAATAAGCACTTCACAGCAGCACCTCCTACCGCTCAAGGCGAATAAACTTCCCAAATCCTCTGGATGGATCATGGAGGTACAACCCTGCAGTGACATGGAACACAGAACTATTTTCTTTTGGTTAAGAAATGGATAAACTGGGCCGGGGATTTAGCTCAGTGGTTCCACCGCCTGCCTCGCAAGCACAAGGACCTGAGTTCAAACCTCAGTAACAAAAAAAAAAATAAAGGATAAGCCATTATAAAGGAGAGAACAGAGAAGTCTTTACACTACTGCACCACGACCTAAGCTGCTAACTACCCATCTTTCAGTCTGACCATTCTGTACCCACTAAAATGGCTTCTCTAGAGCAAGCAGATTCTTATACTGCACTGGCGAAGTAACATCTCTATTAACAAAAAGATACCTTCTGACAATGTACTTCTCTACCAGAAGCCTCATTACCCGATCTAAATTAGTAAACAAGGAAGTAGGATACCTTCTAAAATAGAGAAAAGAAAATGTACAATACGAAAAAAGCTGGATATGGCAGCATATGCCACTTGGGAGGTTGAAGCAGGAGGATTGCTGTGAGTTCGAAGCCAACCTAAGCTACACGATGAGTTCAAAGCCAGCCTGAAGTACATGGCGAGACCCTGCCTCAAAACCAAAAACAAAAAAATGAAATAGCGCTCTATTAAATACAGCATCAACAAAACTGGGGAGGGAGGACTATACCAATTTAAATCTCTTACCCCCGAGATCACTAATAGCTACATTTCCTGAGAACATAGCAGGCAGCGGAACCCCTGAGCTAAACTCCTGGCGCTCCAATTCTCTTCTTCGGACAATACCCGGTGTGATCAGGACTGGGATGAAGGAGAGAACTCGGACCCCTGAATTAATATTCTCTAAAACAAAATTTTAAGTCGCTCAGGAATAAAAAGCAACTGATTTTATTTTCTGGCTACTTAGCCAAATTAAATAAATGCTAAGGTATGTTATGAAAAACATGTTAGTAAAATAAAAGTAGTGAATGGCCTTGAGTACTCAGTTGGTACAAACTGAGTTCTGCAGTAATGAACAGCAGTAGTGTTCTTTTTTCCCTCACTCACCAGTGAAAAGCAGAGCAACAAGGGACAGGTCAAGCTAGGAAAATCAAGTTCACCAATGGCCATGCATTTAAATCACTTTTTAAATACTTAGGAAAAAAACCCTTCACTAGATAATATTGCTTATTCTTTGTCTCATATTCAGAAAGAGGAAGCTAAGAAATAGGTGTCAGTGACGAAGTATTTTAATAAGTACACTCATTGGGTACATTTACCTAACAAGTTATATAAAAGTTAATTAGCAATGTATCACACATAAATTATTTTATCCTCTCAGATCATATTTCTAGAATGAAAAGTAGCTTCTACACCATTGTAATCTTAACTAAATAAGTTTATGACATCTATTTTTACTTTTTGCTTTAACTTTAATTTTATCATCTGTCTTCTTACCCTCCCCACACAGGCAACCTTGGTTACTCAGCAGTTTACTGTTTATTTCACTTATACAAACACCACTGAGAAAAATAACAGATATTTAAGTATACTCATTGGCATTTTCTAACCTCTTCTACCAGATGATCTTGTTCTTTTTGGAAGGGATCACTTTTCTGGGCTGGCAGAGATCCTCCAGATGCACCATTCTCTGTACCTACAATATCCACCAATGGAGAGTCTTGCCCTTCAGATTCCGGAATTTTCTTAGAAATTATATTGTCTTTCTCTCTGGGAGCTCTCATCATGACTGTATCCTGAAAACAGACATGTAATGTTAAACACTTCATACTCATGGCTCATTCTGAAGCTTTCTTCACTAGTGATTCATAATTGTGAAGGAAGTTAATATTATATGAAATTACATGTTCACTGGCAAACTTAAATAATTCCAATATTTCTATTTAGCAAAGGAGAATGTATTAACAGAAATGACACAAAATGCACAAATATTAACAAAGACAGAAACAGAATTTCATTAAATTGTATCAATAAAAACAATTCACATTCTATAACTTAGTGCAGTCAGAATCGAAAATCGTTAGAATATACCTTTCCAGGTAGTGTAACACTGCTTGTCTCTGATGAAGTTGACTGTAACAGGAAAGAGGCAGCACTAAAAGGGAAAAAGACAGCAAGTCCAAGCTATAAGTAGGAAAGAATCCCACTCAATTGATGCATCTAAATATTCTAGAGAGACTGTCTGCCCCGTATCTGTCCGTTACGATTTCACTCAATTCGTCCCGGTCATCAAAAGGCAATTTATTCTCGGGAGGTATGGTGACAACGAGAGCAGCGTTTCAGCTCAATTTGTGTATCTGCCTCCCAGTTATATAAACATCTTACTTGCTCGCCATACATATTTTGAAGTTGCTATTGTTCTTATTTTGTTAGCATCTGTTTGTGATACATGAGGAAGTGCTCTCTGTGCCACACCAATATGCACACACTGCATCTTGCTCCGTTTTACTTTCCCTTTCTCTCCCCCACCTCCACCCACAACAGTATCTTGGCAAAAAGTTAAATGCCTTGAGGAACACTCCAAAGCTGGAGCAGTTTAAAAACAAACTCAGGTAACGAGAAATACACAATTACCAGGGCCTTCCTCAGAGGGCAAATCACAGAATTCCATTGTAGCACAGATTTTAAGATTCTTTTGCTATTTCATGGCCAAAATCAATTTCTCACATGCTGAACTTTGCTCTACAGCAAATGTTACAGATATAGTGAAGTCATTAAAGTTTTTCAGAGTTTCAGTTTATGGTTAACCCACACGTTACAAAGCTTTGCTTGATGTTTTAGATTCCCTTGCCACTTCATATAAACATTAAAACTTCATGTATCGCACTGGGTGTGGTGGTGCACACCTGTAATCCCAGCACTCGGGAGGCTGAGGCAGGAGGATCGCTGTGAGTTCGAGATCAACCTGGGCTGCATAGTGAGTTCCAGGTCAGTCTCAACTACATAGTGAGACCCTGTCTCAAAAAAACCAAACCCCCCCCCAAAAAAACTTCACGTATCTTTTCATGATGTTATTAAAGTTAAAACCTTAAAAAAATGGTAACTTCAAAGAACCTTTATGTTGATTTCAAAAGATCTTTTAAATTCAAAGCCAAAAACTTCTCTAGATAATTAGAAGAACAGAATTACCACAGAAACTACTGTTAACAGCAAGCACATCAGTCCTTTACTTTCTTTTCAAAGCCAGAAATACAAAATTAACAGCTTCACAAATACTTTATATAATAAAAAAAATACACTGTCAAGCTTTTCCAAACATGCACCCCGGACTCTTCACCTATCCTCCAAACATAATTCAAAATCACTATAACTGCTCAAGCTTCCATTTAGCAGAACATAACCCAGATATCAAAAGCAAAGGACTATATTTTTTTTCCCCTAGAAATATCAAAGAAGCATCCCCAAAACCACAACAAAGAATACAGCAAAAAGGTCTGGGGATTTAGCTCAGTGTTGCTGTACCTGCCTGACAAGCACAAGGTCTTGGGTTCAATTCCAAGAGCCAAGAAAAAAAAATCAGGGTCAAGGATTTAGCTCAATGGCTTAGTGCCTGCCTTACAAGCACAAGGTCCTGAGTTTGATCCTCAGTACAAAAAAAAAAAAGAATACAGCAAAGGAATCACTAATCACTTAATTCTGGCTTTAGGTATGATGAAACCTCCACCAGCTCATTCTGCTAAGTCACCAATGAGGGCCAGGCGTGGTGACACATGCCTGTAATCCCAGCACTCGGGGTGGCTGAGACAGGACAACTGATGTGAATTTGAGGCCAGCCTAAGCTATACAGTGAGTTCAAGGCCACACTACAGGGCAAGAGCCTAACTCAAAAATCAAACCAAAATAAAAAATCAGCAATGAGATTTACGGAGAGTACTTATATTTTGGCACCAGTGAAAGAAACTGCATGAGAAAGTGTTAAGAACACACTTCCTCTAAAAACTCCTCCTTCCATGTTTTATTGTTTGTCCGCTGTACTGAGGACTGAACCCAGGACCTGAACCCTGAGTGGTGACCCCATTCCACACCACTCTTGTTTGTAGTCAGGGTCTTAAGTCATTGAATTGCCCAGGCAGTGCTCATCTCGCATCCTGCTGCCCCGGCCTCCCACAGGTGTGTCACCTTGCCCAGGCCCAGTTTTTCCATGGCTCCTAATAATTACAATGATCACGTCTGCATATAAATTTCCCGATTAACTATATTGCTGGGCTAAATGCAAAATGAGATACTCTTTTATTTCATTAAGTGTATCCTACCTACATTACACGTTCCTGATAAACATTTAATTACAAATACTGTTAACAGGGCCGATCCCCAGTACCCCCCCAAAAAACTGTCAACAGTGAGGAATGTGTTTGAACAATATCACTTCTACAACACAGTAAACTAACCTCACAGGTCTTCTGTCCCTCAATCTGTGTAGCAACAACCTTTCCCATCCCATTACTCATTCACCCCTACCACCAAAAGCATTCCCCTAACTCCCTTCAATATCCCAAGCCTTGCTGGATGTGATGGTGCACACCTGTAATCCCAGCAGGAGGACCACTGCAAGTACAAGGCCAGCACGGGCTAAAGAGCGAGACTCTGTCTCAAAAACAAAACACCCAAGCCTTTGTGCCGAGTGCACACATGCCCAGTGTTGGAAATGGACCTCAGCGCCTCCCAGAAGCTTGGCAGGCACTCTCGCTGAGCCCCAACCCCGTAATATTTTGAATGTATCAAAAACTGATAGATATCCAAATGGTAGTATTTAACATGGCTGTTTTTAGTCATGCTATAAGAACAACTGTGATATGAGGGTAAAGTGAGAAAGCCAATAACTTCACTATTCCTTCAGTAATATATCTGCGAGTTCATTCTTTTCTCTTTAGGTACTCAAAAAATCAACATTAAATCCACACAAAAGAATGAAAGCAGAATTCTTCCACAACTAGTCCTGCTCTCGTATAAGCCAGAAAATGAGTGGAGAGGCAACTGCCAATGGCTCAACTTCACATAAAAGTTCTGACTCTGGTTATAGTATTTCAGTGTACCAAGAACACACAAAATGAACAGCGCTTCGCTTAAAATTTAGAATTTTGTCTTAAGATTTTCCTGAATATTTTATTTTCATACTGACCCTTATCTACTTAAGGAAGCGGGACTGAAAAACACCTATTTACACCAAACGGCAATCAAAAGTAAAACAGAGGGCTGAGGCAGGAGGATCACCCTGAGTTCGAGGCCATCCTGAGCTACACAGTGAGACCCTGTCTCAAAAACAGGACCGGAGATTTAGTCCAGTGGTGCCACCGCCTGCCTCTCAAGCACAAGGTCCTAAGTTCAATCCCCAGTACCTACCAAAAAAAAGAAAAAAAATCCAAAAATAAACAAAACAAAGTCATCTATTCAGTATGTGCTCAACTGCTATGTTATGTTTAATATCCATAAAGAACAAATATATTTCCCCACATGGATTACATTTAATTTGGAAATGTTTTGCTTCTATAACTTGGCATTAGTTTTAAGTGCCAAAATGTTAACAGACAGGCCAAGGATTTAACTCAGTGGCACTGCATCTGCCTCACAAGCTCAAAGTCCTGAGTTCCATCCCCAGTACCCAGAAAAAACAGGCAGCTGAGGATTTAGCTCAGTGGTTTCATTGCCTGCCTTGCAAGCACAAGGTCCTGAGTTCAATCCCTGGTACCAAAAAAAAAAGAAAGAAAGAAAAGAAAAGACAAAACAACAGGCAACAAAGAAAATAGAAATACTCCCAAAAGAAGTTGAAACAAAGTAGCTTCCAATTTTTCTATGTTAAATTTTGGGTTAATCAGAAGTCTCATTTTTTAAAGCAAGGAACTCTTTATCAAATGGCTTGTCAAAAACATCAATGGATAATAAAGATAGCAGAACAAGTTGCTCAGACTGAAGTAGAAAGCACGGGCTCAACCAAAGGCTGAAGTACGTTCAACCCCAGCACCAGAGGGCATAGACCAACAGTCTGAAAACTACCAGACTAGCTGATCTCAAAGCCTCCCGAACTCTTACTTAAGGCATCAGAGTAATTTCAGAAAAGTCCAAACACATACAATGACAAAATTTCCAAACTTACCTTAGATAATTCCCATATATTTTTCCTTCAAAATTCAGATGCTTCCCATGAGCCCCAGTGTTTAGATAAAGAGAAGGGAAAAAATGTTCACATATCATAAAGTTAAGTCTTGTCTGAAAATCTAGGCCTGAAGTAGAAAAATACTGGGGGGGGGGCAGGCCGGGATTACTATTCCACAGTAAATAAGCTTAGAAACTGGCTTAAACTGGGACTAAAATTAATACAGGAAATCAAAATGCAAACTTATTGACCTGTTGGCTGTGTCACACACGGCTCCCAGGGTACCAATGTCTCCACGGCAACCATTTTCTTGATTATGTTGTTTAGGTATTTCTAAAGAAGCACAAAAATTACTCTTTAATTATGCTTATATATTCCAACATTCCAATATTCAAGGATCTCTTGACATTGCAGAACTTTTTTTTGGCAGTGTGAGGGCTCAAATCCAGGGCTTTTTGCGCATGCTAGACAAGCAATCTATCACTAAGCTACACCCAAGGCACAGAACAACTTCTCAATAGAAGAACACAAAAATGACATAACAATAAGAAAAGATAATGCAGACAAAGTTGTCCACACCTGCAATCCAGCTAAGATTACAGGCTCAAGGCAAGCGTGGGCTAATCAGTGAGGTCTTGTCTCAAACAAAAATGTATGTGGTGGAGTGCTTCCCTAGCACAAGGTCCTGGGCTCAATCCCCAGTCACAAAGAAAATTATCTGACTATTAAGGTAAAATGACAAAGTAATATTTTTAATATCTTAGTAGGATTTATAAGAAGACTAATATATGTGCAAAGCCCTGAGTGTGATACCCAGCACCACAAAAGAGAAATCAAAAAAAAGACTTAAAAGACTCGTAATTCACACTAAACTTCCATAGTTATATTCTCCAGTGTTATATAACTATGTTTCATGTTTAAGTACACAGATCACATGCAAGAAAGGCCAAAGGTTATAGTACTTAGCATATTTCAGGACAGATTTTATGACAACAATTAATCTGTATATCTTTTTCAGTATCCTATCACTAAACAATTATGTGCCACTACTATACTAACAGTGGGATTAAAAAGTAAAAGAGACTGCTTCCAAAGAGTCCATCTAGACAATGATGAGTAAAATGCTGTATTATACTGCTGCAGTATGACAGAAGTAAACCAAAAACGCAAGGAAGGACAGTGGGGAAAAAAGCAGAACAGTACTGAGAATAAGGTACAGGTTTTGTACAACGGAGCAGTAAGAAATGTACATCACAGGGCCGGGGATTTAGCTCAGTGGTTCGGTGGCCTGCTTTGCAAGTGCAAGGACCCGAGTTCAATTCCCGGTACCAAAAAAAAACAAAACAAAATAGAAATATACATGACAGAGCATGGCAGGAAATTAGACTGGCAAAGAAATCCATGACCATGTTACAGAAGACTCTTTTTTTTTCCTGGAATCAAATTCAGGTCCTTGAGCTTGCCAGGTAGGCGTGGCGCCACTCAGCTACATTCCCGGCTGTTACAGAAGATCTGATTCCAGGGACTCCTCTTTCACCATGTTAGCCTCTGAAAGGGTTTCTCTATTTATAGGTGTGTACTCTACAAAGTCCAGCAGCGCCTTGATTCAAAAACTTAATGCTTTCCATGATTCTGGTCACAAAATTCATCCCAAGATTCTGGTCCGTATTATGTAAATGCCTGCAATTCGGCTGCAACCAGGATTGTGGAAAGCATCACTTCATGAACTCAGGTACCACTGTATCACAGAGTAAGAAGCAATGTAGGGTTTTTCTCTTAAAAAACCTCAGAGCATTTCTTAAGACTGTTCTAGCTACTGATTATAATAGAATTTACTAATGTTTATGAACGTACCAAAAGGGCTTGGACATGTATCTCAATGGTAGAATACTTGCCTAGACTCCTGGGTTCAATCTCCAGGACCACCACCACTGCCAAAAAAAAACCCCAAAACAAACAACTTTACCACAAAACGTAGTAGAAAATCACAAACGAGTATTATACACAACTATAAACACCACATGTTCTTGGCAGGCAGGCAAAATTGAAACATGCTTGTTCTGCTATGAAAAAAATGTGTAAGCTGCCAAGTGAAGCCAGAGGTGGAAGCACAAACCTGTGACCCCAGAACTCTGGGAGGGTAAGGCAGGAAGACTGCAAGTGTGAGCCCAGACTGGGCAACAGAATGACTTAGTGAGACCCTTTTTTAAAAGGGCAGGGGAGGAGTCGGGCGTGGTGGCTCACTCCTATAAGCCCCGCCCTTAGGAGGCTGAGGCAGGAGGACTGCAGGGAGTTCAAGGCTTGCCTGTACTACATAGGAAGACCCTGTCTCAAAAAATAAAATAAAATAATAAAAAGGGCTGGGGACACAGCTACATACAAAGGCTATGGGTTCATTCTTTGATAATAAAAAAAAAAAAATGCAGACATCTTTTTGCACTTGACAAAAGGTATTTGATGTGTTCAGTGTCAGAAAATATAAAGCAATACTTATATTACAGAAAGACCACTGAGAGTCACAGAAAACAATTTCAGGAGAAATGAGGCACCAGGGTAAGAAAACAAGGGAAAACAGACAAAACAAAACATCTGAAAGATAAATGAAGATAAAGTCACAACACAGCAAACCCAACAGAAACAGACACTAACTCCTACCACAAACACACTAGAGCTGCTAAATAAAATGTAAGAAAAAGAAAGAATGCTCGAAAGAACAAAAAGCCAGAATAGAAGGCAGAAAACTGTGCCCAGATTGCAAACCGGGTCTGACACAGCAGGGAGGCTTCCTGGCCAGTGGGTGCTGTACACAGGGCTAACAGGCAGGGATCTGAAATTGAAACGAGACTGTCGCTGGCTGGGACACTGCGAGGCTGCTCCAACTCTGAGAAGGGGATTATAAAAATTGTGCCAATTTGCCAGGCATAATGGTGCACACTTGTAATCCCAGGGAGGCCGAAGGAGGAGAATCACTAAGTTTGAGCCCAGCCTCAGCAACTTACCAAGACTTTGTCTCCAAAAAAAAAAAATGTAAATAACACATTCTTCCAACTGAATCAGGGAAGTACCAAAGAAGCCTGCTCTTTCCATGGGTTAAAAAAAAGGAAGCGGAAGAAATTTAAATCTCTGCCTTCTCAAAAGAAGGTATAAAATCCAAAATTATACTGATTTCTTGTTATAGGATTCCTAAACCAGGACATTAACTGGCCTAATGCACAGGATACGCCTAGGACCCAAGGAATTCTATAGAGACCATTTCAACCGAGCCCCACGAGGTCCCTCCAAAGGTGTGGGACCCACAGAGGTGGAGATAACAATCTAGCTTAAACTGGAAGCCAATAACCAGGAGCAGCATCAAGCAGAGCACAGGAAAAGGAACACCTGAGATGCAAATTAAAAAAGCTAAAAAGGATAAAATTGCCAAATTTAAAGTGACTAGCCAAGAAGGAAAACAATACTGTGAAAAAGGACAAGTCATTTCTTTAAAAGCCACAAATAAGGGAGCTGGCACGACGCACAGGACAGGAGTCCCAGCACTGTGATAAGAGAGATAGGAGGTCAGGAGTCCCATGCTAGCCTGCCTGGGCAACTTACCGAGACCCTAAGATACAAAACACAGGGGCACTCCAGGGCTCATGCGTCAGCACCAGGTAAAAATAAATAAGTAAATACGACTAGGGGAGAGAGCTCTGTGGTAGAAAGCTCCCGGTTCGATCCCCACTAATACACACTCTCATATATGGGGGGACTACAAAGGGGTTGCACATACAGCTCAGCGGTAGAGCACTTACCTAACGTGCCCAAGGCCCTAGGTTCAATCCCCAGTAGAGAGAGACAGACACATTGTTGCTCTAAGGAAAATACCCATGATGAAGCCCAGAGATAGAAAAATGTAAATAAAAATGAGAAGTTAAGAAATGTGAAAGACAAAATTAGAAGTCCTAGCAGTAGTTCTTCTTTTAAGAGTAGAGAAATCTATTGGGGAACAGGAATGTGGAATAAGAATAGCTCCTGAGAGACAGGAGGGTACCGAGTGGACTGCCCCAATAGAAGTTCTAGAAGAGTCATAAGAACGAGACAAGCAATATTGTAAAATGTACTGCTAAATAACACTCTGTAACTAAAGATATGAGCCTTCAGAATAAAAAGACATGCACAAATTCCAAACAAGTGCCTGGTGCATTAGCACAAACCTGTAATCCAGCCCCCAAGAGGCTGAAGCAAGAGGATCTCCATGAGTTCAAGGCCAGCATGGGCTACATAGTGAGTTCAGGACTAGACTGAACTACAAAGGGAGACCCTGCCTCAAAAAACAACAAAAACCTTGTCTAGGGCTGGGGGTTTAGCTCAGCAGTTTGGTGGCCTGCCTTGCAAGTGCAAAGACCCAAGTTCAATCCCTGGTACAAAACAAAACAAAACAAAACAAAACAAAACAAAACAAAAAACGTGTCTGCTTCAAATGGGTGGATTATATGGTATGTAAATTATATCTCAATGGAACTATTTAAAAAAGAAAAACCTTGCACAGTGAATGGTATGCACCTATAGTCCCAGCTACTTCGGAAGCTGAAGCAGGAGGATTGCTTGAGCCCAGGAGTTTGAGGCCAACCTGGGTAACACAGCAAGACTCCTTCCACCTCAAAAAACAAAACAACAACAACAAAAACAGAAATGGGGGTAGATACATACATTCATCAACATGGCTGATCCCTGAAAACATGATGGATAAAAGTGAAAAACTGGGCAAGCAAATGAAGCCAGATACAAAAATTACATGGCAAAATTTCAATTGGATGAAACATGTAAAAGAATCAAATCCCTGGAGACAGAAAATAAAGAAGGGGTGATAGAAAAAAAATGGTGAATATTTAAATTTTTAAAAAGCTATTACAGCATATGTGCTGCCGAAGTGAGCAAAAAAGCTAAGACAGTAAAAGACACATTTCCATTAGTCCATTTCACCACAATAAAAAACTGAGAAGAAAAAAAAATTTTAGAACTATTATAGCAATAAGAAATAATGAAAAGAGGAACATTTAAAAAAGAAAAAGATTCCCAGTACCAAAAAAAGAAAAAGATAAATAACCTAAGAGTATAGGACACACATGTGTAAATACTGAATAGTTTTCTGGTATGAGAAACTGAAAGTGTAAATAAGGATTAAAAGGTTTAACAGATAATGTGAACTAGGAAGAGGGGCAAAGGGGAAAAGGAAGTGAGAAGGGTAGAGGAAAGGAAAGAAGGGAACAAAATAAGAGAAAATGAAAAAATGGAAACAAAGTCTTTGTAAATAGAGGGGGTGGAGGGGTTGAAGGGCAGGGGAATGGGGAAAAAATAAGAACCAAGATAGATCAGGTACACATTTCTAATGATGAATGTCATCATATTGTATACCTAAAATGTACCAATAAAATTAAAAAAAGAAAAGATAAATAACCAACCTGGAAGTGAAGCAGGATACTGAGAAAGAACACTACTTGCGTATACTTCCTCCGAGACAGGATCGAATGAGAGGGGACACATAGGCGGTAAAAGATCCACAGCCTTTTAACACAGATTTCACAATTTAATAAACAACTAATACCACAATAACACTACTAAATTAGTCCATAAAAGGATCTTTTTAGCAAATTTTCTTCTAAGAATTACCAAGCATACATCCTATAACTATGTTTAAACCAAAGAGTACAATATTAAAAACAAGATATTTACTTTGTTCTCCAACTTTGACTCAAAATTTGTAGTTTCTCACATCAAGAGGAAAGTCTCAACTGGAGTGGTGGCACGTGACTATAATCCTAGCACTCTGAGGCGGAGGCAGGAAGAACAGTAAGTTCAAGGCCAGCCTGGGCAACATAGTGAGTTCAAGGCTGGCCTAGACTATACAGCAAGTCCGTCTCTAAAAAACAATCCAAACTACCAAGAAACACTAAAATCTTTTCATTAAACCCTCTGAATTTAAATAAATTAACTATACCCCACAGCTAAATTCAGCTGACTTTATACATGCACACATGAGCACACGTGCACACATACACACACACACTCAATGGCAACAGCAATGCATGAAACTTCTATTATTTAGAAAAATTACAAAAGCAAAACAATTGAACTTTGGATAGAAATGCAAAGATGACAAATACATGTATTTGTAGCATTTCTAGGTCACTGCTAACACGGTAAATCAAGACTGACAAAATTAAGCTGCTCTCCACAGGCAAGTCAACATTACTTACTGGAGTCCAACCTTTAAACAGACTGAAAGGAGACACACCAAGAAATTCTTTCCATTTCTTATGCCATTCTCCTTGCTTTTCAACAACAGAATGTTGTATAGTTGTGAGATCTTCTTTTATTTTACACCTATGGCAGCATAAAAAATAATTTCATTCAAAACATAGAGTACACAAAAAAAGCATGGAGCAAAATTTAAGAACAATAGCAGTTAAGAAAGAAAAGGAAATGTAACTGAAAGCCCAACCACTAAGGCACATATAAACTGAATGAACTCTCACAAGTGAATATTCAAAACCTAAAATACCTTTTCTCTTTTATTTTATTTTCTTCCAGTAGCAGGGAATAAACTCAGGACCTTGTACTTGAGAGGCAGGCACAGTGCCACTGAGCAAATCCCCAGCCCTCTTCTTTTAAAGCCACAAAGCAGGGGCCAGGGATTTGGCTCAGGGGTTGTCGCCTGCCTCACAAGTGCAAGGTACCAAGTTTGATCCACAAAAAATAAAAAAATAAAACCAGAAAGCAATTATACATTTATTATACCATTAAGTTTTTTTTTTTTGGTACCACTAATCGAACTCAGGACCTTGAGCTTGCCAGGCAGGTGAGGTGCCACTGAGCTAAGTCCCCAGCCCTACACCATATATTTTAAAATACATTTTAAAAGTTAAAATTATTTCACAGCTGGGCATGGTGGTCTGTGCCTGTAATTCCAGCTGTTTTGGGGTCTAAGGCAAAAGGATCTCAAGTTTAAGACAGCCTAGGCAACTTAGCAAGATCTTGTCTCAAAATAAGAAATAAATGGGAGGGAAGTAAGGGAAGGGGAAGTAAAATTTAAAATGTGTTATGTACAGGTACTAACTCCCCACAATGAATACAATCACCATGTACAATAAAAATAAAAATGAAAAAGGGCCAGGGATGTAGCTCAGTGCAAACAGGCTAGGTTCAAACCCCTGTAGTACCAAAATATTAAAAAATACTTTGAGTACTAGTAAAATTTTCACACTTGTTTAACAAAGCAAAAGTTGTTAACTACACAAGAGTTTTGCTAATAAAAACCACCCTACTCCTCCCATACACAGTAAAATAACAGAAGATCTTTCTAGTGTACCTCATACGCTTCAGATCTGATAATCTTTCCCTCTGAAATTTGGTCTCTTTTTCAAGGTAGTGACGATCTATTGTCAATCTTGCTTGGTCAGCCTGACAACGTTCATATTTCATTACTTTCAGAACTTCATTTAATAACTGAATAACTGTTAAAAGGTTCAATTTTCCAGCCTCATAAACATTTCCTATGTGCAACTAAAGATTCAGAGGGAGGGAAAAAAGTAGAGAACTATAGAATCTTAAGATAATAAACTGTTACAAAATATACTTATGCTTTTTATTATTAAATACAACTTCTACCCTAAAGAAGGAGAAAAAGTAAATACCACCCAAACATAAAACTATATAAATAATTTCAATCCACCAAAAACTACTGTGGAAGAATTAACAAGTCAGGGTAGTTTTTATATCACCAAAAGGTGGAAGACTAAAAGAAAAACAGTTGAGATAATACATGACATATAAAACTAAGTTTCTTTAATATGAAACATAAAAGGATATTTAGGAGAAAGAGTAGGTAAGATCATAAATCTGTTTGTTTTTTTTAAGCTGCATTATCAATGACCCCTAAAAACTACATCCAAACTCAGGAAGTGTTTCAGAGCTTTAAAAACACTTAAATTAACTGCCACTACTTTTTAAATCATAAACTTCACATTAAAATAGACATTGCTCATTTAACAACCAAGCCACATTCCTATGACTCAGCTGTTAACTGAATTGGTTGCTGAGAAATGGGTATAGTATGTACATTACCATACGCAGAACAAAACAATGGTCAAAGGAAACTCCAACATAACAACCACTTTTATTTGCGTAATTCTTATGTGCAGTATTATATAACAGAACATAAAGCTACAGTTCTGTGCTGTACAATACAATTAGCAAAAATTATAGTACTGTATAAACAAAGTGCCCTGTATCCCCCCTTTATACTGAGGTTGTATAAACAACACATGCAGAACTGTGCATAAAAAGGATGGGTGGTTAAGTTTGGGCAGTGGGTGACTGGGTCCGAACAGTCGCCCTACAGGCAGGTCATTAAACGAGGACTACCCGCACAGTAATTTTCTCTAAAGACCTCATCACCTTGTACCTTCTCCCTACTGTTACGTACAGTTAATGTGCTTCTAATTATCTGTAAACCCTGCAGGAGTGGAAGTCTACACGTCCTCATTTTGATGAACTCTGAAGTGAATGTGCCTATCAGTGTTATTTATGGTCGATGTGAAGGCACTTCAGTCACAATAGTTTATCTTTGCAATAGCTATACTATAATCAATACCACATACACAGCACATGCTAACTGTGCTTACTAAAGAGAAAACAGTCTGCTGTCCCCGTGGAAACATCTTATACAGATATGGATTAAGTAAAAGAAGTCTGGGTTAAAGGGGAAAGACTGGTAATCCTATTGGAGAAGAAGCAATGAAGCCATGGAATTGGTAAAAGAAAAAAAAAATACATAAACCAGGCATGGTGGTGCCTGTCAATAATCCCAACACTTTGGGAGGCTGAGGCAGAAGGATCACAGTCTGAACAAACCAGGGCAGTTTAGTAACTTAGCAAGACCCAGTCTCAAAAATAAATAATTAAACAAACAAATAGGGCTGGGGATATAGCTCAGTGAGGAGGCCATAGGTTCAATCCCCAGGACCACAAAAATTAATTAATTAGTTAACTTGCAGTGAGCAAAAGAAAACTGAGCATTAAAGGAATCAGCAGAAAAAAATGAAACTAGTCCGAAAAAACAGGAAAAAAGAGACACTGACATCACAGTGTAAAGGAAAAGTCTTTAAGAGAAATTGTTAACAGAATCAAAGCAAAAGAGAAGCCAGAGATGGAAAGTTCTTAAAAGGACATTTAGCAACAGGCCATTTATGCTCTCTTCCTACTACTTGTACTCTCCACAGTATGATGAAGGCCCACACAAGGTATAAATAACAGAAGGTGATGGATATAAATAAACGTTCCTTAACAGTACCCCTTTTATAAAGATTTTATTAGTTACACTCAAAATTTAATTTTAAAAGCAGTAGAAAAATATGGAGGAAATAATACATAATATATAAAACAAACTTTTTCACAAACATTTCCTTAGTATCAAATACTTACCTGACATATCTGTTTCTCAATTTTGTCCAGTAAGAGACTTGGAATATTAATAACAACCTTAGTTCCATCTAATTCATATTGGTTAACGAGGGTAAGGACTGAATTAATAACTTCCCTCTCTTTTTCCAAAAATGTGAGTGTTTCATTCACTAAGGCCCACAAAGACCGAACCTTTGAAAACAAAAACCAAAATGTAAAAATCCACTCATAATCTCTACTTATATAAAGAAATACAAGCATAAATATTTTCTCAATCCTAGGAACAAAGGAAATATTCCTGGGCTGATTTCTGATGAGAAAATTAAATAACTATAGTTTAAAAACACTGATATTACTTCCAAAGGGATTTGAAAACTAACAAATTTCTCTGGAGACTTTAGCTCACTATAATTTTCAAACAAGTCTAAGAAATCTTTATACTCCCAAGATACAATTAGCATTTTTTTGCACTTTGACATGCGACCAATCTAATGAAGATTTTTCAGGAAGAACTAATAAAAAATGGATTGTCAAAAAAAAGAAAATTACTACACATTAATTTTAAGTACCTCAGGCATAAGAAGAGTTAACATGTAACAAACAAGATTCTTATTTATTTTTTCAGACAAGACTGTTGAAGAGCAAAAACTCATTGAGTGGTGGTGGCACGCATGTAATCCCATACGCTGGGATTTACGCTGGAAGACTGGGACAGGAATGCAAATTCAACTCCAGCTTCAGCAACTTTTCAACTTAGCAAGACCCTGTTCCAAAATAAAAGAAGGCCTGGGGAAGTAGCTAGTGCGAAGGCCCTGGGTTCAATACCCAATACTACCTCCTCCAAACACCTTCAGGCATAAAGTACTACATGTTCAATAAAGTTCATGTACAAAAGTATTCACAGAGGGCCAGGGATTTATCTCAGTCTTCCAAGCACAAGGACCCAAGTTCACGCCCCAGTACCAAAAAAATAAAAAAGGTATGGTTTTTCAAAAATATTCACAAAAGGAAATTGATCAGACTTCCAATTAGACTGGAGGAATAAACCTGTCAATGATTTGTTGTGCTGTATACTGGCCAGTTATTAATATATGTATTTCATATTTCAAAACTGCTAAAACAGATTTTTAACATTCTCATCACAAAAAAATAATAAATTAATGATTTGTGGATATGTTAATTCGCCTGACTGGACTATTCTATGAAGTATACAGAGATCAAAATATACCCTCTAAATATCAATAATTATTGCTTATCAATTAAAACTAAGGCCAGGTAGAGCAGAGCAGTGCACTCCTGTGACCCCAGCAATCTGGGATGCTGCAGCAGGATGGCCAAATCCAAGTGCTGGGCAAATTAGCGCATGGCAGGATTTTATTTCAAAACAGAACAAAAGGGCTGGGCTTATAACTCAGTACAAAGTCCCTGGGCTCAATTTCCAGTACAAAAGAAACACACACACATGCAAATAAAAAGGGTATCTTTCCTTCAGCTATTTTTTTTCTTTTTCTCGGTAGCAGGGATCAAACTCAAGACGCTTGAGCTTGCCAGCAGGAGCGGTGCCATTGAGCTACATCCCTGGCCCTAATATCCCCTGGGGTTGTTACTCCATTTATAAAATAGAACACTACACAGAAATGAGAATAAACATACTAAAACTACACACAACAGCATGGATAAATATCACAAATACCACTGAGTTAAAGAAGTCACAGAAAGAAGACATTCTATTAATTTCCATCTGTATAAAGTTGAAAAACAAGCAAAACTAAACTGTAGTGTAAGTGAGCCTAGTGCTCACCCCTTGGGGAATGAAGTGGTATGACAAGGATTCTGAGGTACTGTGATAATGTGCTACTTCTCAAATAGGATACTCAGGAGACTAAGGCAGGAGGTTCACCGCGAGTTCAAGGCAAGCCTGAACCACACAGGGAGCTCAAGTGCACCCTTCGTTAGCTCAGCTGGTACAGTGGAGGACTGCAGAACCAACAGACATCCGTGCACAGCGCTCAAGGCCCGTCTAAACTACATACATAGCAAGACGCTGTCTCCGGGAGAAGGGGGGAATATATATCATAAGCTGATTTATTCCATTACATTCAAGGGTTTTAGAAGCACCTACTGGTACCTTTAAATATAGCACCTATAACAAGTGAAATTTTAAAAATTAAAAAAAGGCAAGAGAATTTAAGACCAACCACTGGACACAGCAGCACATGCCTATAGTCCCAGCTATTTGACAGACTGAGACAGGAGGACTGACTGACTTCAGCAGTTCAGCACCTGCCTGAGCAGCATAGCAAGACCCTGTCTCTTTAAAAAAACATAAATATGAAGTTCAACTGATTAAGTCAACACCGTATACCACAAAGTAAGAAAGGTTTAATTTGTCCCGTCAAAATTATCTCACCTTTTGAATTTTCTCTTTTATATTACTTTGGTCATCAGAGGGCTCCATTCTAGTAAAAATCAAATAATCTATTTAGTCAAAAGAAAATCAAATAGTAATATACAAAAAGCTAATTGGTCTGCAAACCCACTCCTAATAGCTGTTCCAATTATAAAATAGTAGGGCCAGGGATCGTTCAGTGGCGCTGTGCCTGCTGCCTCACAAGCAAAAAGTCTGAGATCCCCAGGTATGCATATATATATA